AATATAAAATACAATGATCAAGCGGAAAAGGAAATGCTACAAAAGTAAGCTAAGACCATCGAAATAACTAGAGGGAATAACTAAGTTTCGACTTCTTCTGCTCGGTCTGCAAAACACTCCTGCGGAGGATCCTTCGGTTCTGGCACATCTCCAAGCTGGACCTGTCCTTCCTCTAAGTCTGACATACACCAGAGAAAACAGGTGTACGTCAGCATGCATGGCACACGGCAAGACCCCACAAAGCAAATGGAGCGAACGAAAGCCCGAGCGGAAAATGATACGATAGTAGAAATGATAAAGAAACGTGCAACTAGAAATCCAACAAAATCAACCAAGTAGCAAGTCGATCATGCAGCTAGCGATCAGAATAATCATCCAAGTAACATGGTCATATAACTAGATGGAATTAATACTTAAAAATCTACAACAAGAGATGTAGTACGTCGAGCGAAATAATCCAAACAAGGAAACCCTCATGTATATACCATATGTTTCAAATTGTAAATAATTAACTATTAACCCCGATCTATGTATGAAAAGAAATACAACTAACCTACATCTCATAAGAAATCATACCTAGCCAAGAAACAAGGTTATGTAACTATCTATCCTATAACAGCTCACTGGTTCATATCTCACACAGAGTCAACGCTCACATTATCAGATAACTGACTGTTCACAAATCCCCTACTTGCATCCAATACCACTACACAAACTCAGTCAGAGGACTACACACAATCCATTTTCAGCCTAGTCCGAACTCAAGCTAAACTCAGGTGAATATCAAACTCACGGACCAAAGTGACTACACAAACTTCACTTTGACCCAACAAACCAACCCCAGTGACTACACGAATTCACTGGCACGAGCCTGGAAGATACATCAACATCCACATCTGATCACATGAACAAAGACTTCTCATCCTAACTCTTTTTCCTTTTTTCTAAGTCAACAATCAAAGTCCACAATATCTCTGGTTCACCATCTAAATTTAGTCAACACACCCACATATGTCACTAGGTCTGTCCATGACGTATTTACGAGGGCACTAAATCATAAACTACTAAGGTTCTCAATCACAATAAGGAGATAATAATAACACTAGTCATGTGTAATAATATCATAGCATATCAGATAATCAAGTCTAAGAATTATAAATCATGAACAACAACTATATAATTCTGAAAATAATTCATTTTCTAAAATAATTTCTCTTAATTTATTTCTCATAATTAATAACTCCAAAAATATTTAAAATATTCTTTCTTTTAAAAACATCTCAAAATAATATTTTTACAAAATAATTTTCTTTTAAACTATTTATCATATTATCTTTATTTAAATATTATTCATTAACAAGCCCACACAGTTATCACAATCTTCATGCCATAGCATAATCAAATCACAGTATAGTCCAAGCAAATTCATAATAGGTCTAAAAATTGAAACGACAAGTCAAAGAGAAAGAGATATTGTCTTAAAATCATGTGCAATCCTCTAAAATAAACAGCAAGCAATCCACAAGTGCAAACAACACGTTCTCCCTTGCCACATGTCGATGATCTCGTCCTCGTGTCGGTGTTGTGCTTCACAAAGCTCTCAATATTCATAAGAAAAAGATCTAGGGTTTTTGAGGGGAGAGGGTGGCTACTAGGGTTCAGATATATGATAAAAAAAGAGGAATTTTTATGAAAAACATAGGTATTTATAGAGGCAAATCCGAAACAAACCCGTTTGACCCGAACCAGGAAACCTAGTTTGACTGGGAAAATCTTCTTCGGTATTTTGGCTGTAACTTTCTCATCCGTTCTCAGAATGAGATGATTTAAGATTTGTTGGAAAGCTGTTGAAGAGACATATAACTTTGGTCTTTAAGTTTTTCTAGATTCTAACTGAATCGTTATGTAAAATATAAAAACTCTTAACTGGTTATTTTTCTCAGATTTCTCTTCGTGCATGTTTTGTGCATTTGCACTCATATATTCACAAATATACATTAAATTGATTTTAAATCAATTCTTATCATACTAAAACATTAAAATATGTTATTTTTCAGCATAAAACATATTTATCATTATTTATTATGAAAATTTTTAAATTTACAGGGTTTTACAGGTAGACATGACAGTAGCGAGAATGGTCATCAATGAAGGTGATGAAGTACTTCATGCCGCATTGAGTGAAGAAGTTCTTGAAGTCACAAGTATCTGAATGAATCAGATCCAACAGGTTGGTGCTCCTTGTGACACTTGAAAACGGCTTCCTCGTCAGCTTTGCTTGTGCGCAAACTTCACACTTCTCAGGTTTGTTACCCTCACATTTTGGAAGTAATCCTAACTGATCCATGCTGGATAGTTTTCTATAATTTACATGTTCCAGCCTATTACATCATAACACAAAGGAGTAAGTAGAAGAGGATACTTCATTTACAACATGGTTGGATGCACTCGTACTGATCTTATACATGCCATCAGTACAATATGCATTGCCAAAATATATTTTTCTAAAGGATAACGCAACTTTTCCTCCTTGAAAATCCAGCCTCATACCTGCATCACACAGCAGGCTTCTAGAGACTAATTTTTTGGCAATTAAGAGAATATGTTTCACATTCTTCAATGTGAGAGTCTTTCCTGAAGAAAGAGTCAACACCACAATCCCAGTTCCAAGAAGAGGAACTACAAAATGATCAGCCATTGATACATTTTCTTTGGCAGCAATACAAGAAGAGAACAAATCTCTGTTGGAGAAGACATGATAAGTAGCGTCTGTATCTAACCACCAACTAGAGATGTTGATTTGAGTTGTTACCTGGAAGAGCATAGCCACACAATCATCAACTTGATTGACATTGTGTGTTGTTTCCTTCTTTGGTGCTTCCAGTCTTTGACAAAATGTCATTGCTTCCCACAGTTGAAGCATTTGCCGCTCTTCTTGAACTCCTTCTTCTAAACGTTCAGGTTCTTTGGATTCTGGTTCTTCCTTTTGTTAAAGAACTTCTTCTTCTTGTTGAAAGATGAATTATTATCCTTCTCAGAGTTAGCAGCCACCATGTTAGCAGACGCCTTCTGCTTAGCAAGGAGCTCAGTCTTCGTGCAGGTTCGAGTCTCGTCCTCGATCCGAATGAACCTCTTCAGATCAGACAGAGTCACCTGTCTTTTCCTTCTCCGAATGTCAGTGGAGAATAACATCCAAGATGGAGGAAGCTTGTTAACAATTACACCGGAAATGAAGGTTTGATAAAGACTAATCTTTTCATCCTTCAGCTTCATAACAAGCTTTTCAAGCTATTTGACTTGAGGCAAAACTTAGTGTCGTCTTCAAACTTAAAGTCTAGAAACTTGTCGATGATGTTAGATTTAGACAGCTTCTCCTCATCCTTGTACTGATCCTCCAGAGCATTCCAGATTTTCTTTGCAGATGGCTTGTTGGTGTAAGCATCTGCTAGATGATCGGTCAGACAGTTAAGGAGATAACTCCTGCAGAAGTGATCATCTCTAGCCCAAGAGGCTTCAGATTCAGAATCTTCTTCAAAGTTGGATTTCTCCTCAGAGATCACATAGTAGATTTTCAGGAGTTGCATCCCGAATATCACTTTCCGACGCCATGTGTTAAAGTGGAACTATTAAAGTTCTCTAACTTAAGACAGTCCACTCCAAGACTCCTTATAGGATCCATGGTAGATCAGAATATTGCTTTAACATTGTTGGCGCATGTGGTTAAATCTGGAATAATACAGATATAAAAACAGAGAAAACTGAAAAGAAAGCTAAAGTGCTATAATTTAAAATTTTCCAACTCAGCTGTTGTGCGTTTGTAAAACGCTGTGCTTAAAGTAATATTTGGCCTGCTCCGTTGCAAGGATCCCAATGCCAAATTGCTTCCAAGAACAACAGTACAATACTCTGGTGTGCACCGACTTAGTACTGTCATGATCTCCTCGATCTATAAGACCTTTCGGTCAAGACAACAATCTCCTCAATCTATAAGACCTTCTCAGTCAAGGGAACAATCTTCTCGATCTATAAGACCTTTTCAGTCCAAGCAATGTTCCTACGAGCACCAGCTATTTTACAACATATATATCTGTATATATTGGTTGTTAATTTTAGAATAAATTTTCCTTAAGAGTTTGGGGTCTATTTATAGCGTTTGAAAAAATACTATGTACTAATAAAATAATATTATTTTACTATGCATGTGGGCCCACGTCCTAATTTTCTTATGGTGGGGCCTACCACTTTTTCTTTTTAGCAAAGATTTGACACCGTCCAAGAAATTAATCACCTTCACTTTTGACAAATGAGATTTGTGGAACGCACACTTTATTTATGGTCAAATTTTTTTGGCTACACATGTGAAATTAAAAAAAACTATTCAACACTATTAAATTTAACTGGTGCCAAAAGATATTGCTGGCTTAATTTCTGTTATCATTGTTCAACAGCAAGCAACCGGTGCAGTGTTGGTGTCAAGAGAACCGAATAAAGGTATTCTGTACAGGGGTTGGGAGAGGGAGAGACTCCTGGCGGCAATCTGAAGAACAAAGATGAAGGAAAGGGAAGAGAAGGTTTCTGCTAAGCTTATGGAAGCCATGAGTGTAGAATGTGGGTTATCAGTCAATACAGTGGAATAACATACATGTCCTGTAAATTGTTACTAATTCATGCTCACAGATTGATGCAATAAATAAAATTCGGTACGGATTTTCTAATCAGGTCTCTTTTTGAATATAATGGAATTGCACAGAGTAACCGTTCTTTTTTGTGTTCTTTTACTATGATATCTAAACCGTTATTCGAGATTTGATTGTTTAGATTTAGCAGAGCAGACCGACAGAAGTGAAGCAACCTTTTTAAGAAGGATTTGAGATTGCAAAAGTCTGTTTTTATACTGAAGTCAAGAAATTAAAATGCATTTCAAAATTGAACAATAAACGCTAAAATAATTACAGAGAAAAAAACAAAGATTTCATCTGGGGAAAAAAAATAACCAGCTGTTTTGACTTGAAGCCTTCATCATTGATTAAGAAAAGGGCAACAAACAATTACAAGTAATATCCTATTGAACTAAATTGCTCCCGATCAACATCAAACTACAAATGCTAAAAGAAAATAAAAAAGAAACAAAAGATAACTGGCTTTGAATTTTCTTTCAACTACTACAAATTTTCATGATCAACTGAAAGACCATGATAAAATATCGACCATCTCAAAGAAAGGAAATATGATGATTCCCTAAGGGGGAAATACTTCTTGCTACTTATGTAAACGATTTCTTCCTCTTACCCCTCTTCGAAACCTTCGACTCATATTCTCGAGGAATCACTGTTTGTATTTTGCAAACAACCCAATTTTTCATCTACAAGGAAGAAAATAATCGCACATTAGCACAAACTATACATCACAAGAGAATAAATTTTTTTAACCTACAAGAAGAGATAGTATCTCACCTTGGGATCTTTAAGGTTCTCCAAATTGGTTGCTCGAAATTCTTGCATGGTCCAATTGGTCTTGTACCGCCCATTTGGTCCAAGTTCTTTACTATAGTAGATAAACGTGTTCTTTAACCCGATGATTTCTTTGGTATCAGGATCCTTGATGGGCTCATCGCTCACATCTAACTTCCAATAGCCTTTTGGGGTGGAACGGTCTGAGTTCTCCTCAGTCATATACATGAAGAAATACATCCAACGCTCATTACCATCAGAGATAGTAACTGCACATGAAGAAATATGGACATCACAACACTGGAAACTCAATGATGAAAATTCACTATAACAGAACATGATATGTGTTCTCCTTCTATTTCGCTAGAAAAAGAGACTTAAGAGGCCTTACCCTTGACATCAATTAATACGGATTGAATGTTGATATATAGGTTGTTCAGGAAGTTATTTACTGGTTCATGTTTACACACAACAAGAACTATTTTATATGAAGAAAATGTAAGGAAAAAAAATTATGTACCGTCAGATTACGAAGAAACAATAATAAAAACAAAATATGAACTGCTTTATAGCAATAGCAATTAATATTTGTTGCTTCAAGGTTAGTATATTCGAAATAATATTTTTCCTTTTATCCTCGTGAATCTCACTTAGGTAAAATTATGTTTACCTGAAATTTGAAAAAACCCTATATTTTTTAGTTGATCACAATCCTCCTGCTTTTAAAATTCTTAAGAAGTCGTACAATATACTCCAAATTTAAGAAGAATTATATATTTCATTAAGCAAAAAATTTGCCCTTAAATCCTATAATAATCACCTCCAATGATTTTTAATTAAATATTTCCTCACTGACCCCAGTGATATTTAAATAAATATTTCCTCCCTAAAATTTTTCCTGACTTAAAATAAGAAAGACGAAAAATCATAAATCTAATTCTAATCAAAGGAGAATCAAATCCTCATCAAAAAGTGCAATTGAAGAGACCCTCTTTTCAAAAAGACCAATTTTAATATTTTATTAAAATATAAACCAAGCTAAGATCCAATTTTAATTATTTTGATTTGTAACATTTCCAGGGCTGTATCTAAGAAAGTCTTAGATATGTTGAGTTAGGTCAAAGTTTATAATTAAATTTTCAAGTTAGGGTTTTCTTTAATTAAGATTTAAATAAAACAGGGACAAAATATGAAAAGCAACTAATTTCCAAAAATAATTGCAAAAAACGACATCTTTGAAACTTATTCATAACAAGCGACCCAGTTTCAGCCAACTGGTTGAAACTGGTCGTTTTTGGTGAAAAAAAATACAAAACTTTACGGGTCTTCAACTCCTGTAAAGTTTTTATGTAAAAAACTTCACAGGACTTGAAGTCCTGTGAAGTTTTGTAATTTTTTCGCCAAATACGACACAGTTTCAACCAACTGGCTAAAAACAGGTCGTTTTTGATGAATACGTTTGAAAATGGGTTGGTTTTAAAAATGTGTCCAATAAAATAGATAAGATGATGATCAATTAAGCCAGATGTCGATAAACAAATAAGTAACTACGAAAATTTATCAGATTAAACAAAACCCAAATAAAACGGAAAGAAAGAAATACTCACCGGGGAGTTCATCAGGTTCGAAGAGATAGACATCAATCTCTTTGATCGGGTTAATTGGTAACGGCGCTCCCAAAACTTTGCTGCTTACAAAATGCCTGATGACGACATCGCCGGCCGGGTGAAATCGAAGCCCCGGCCACGGCAAACAAGGATGGGTTCCATCTTCATTGAATGGAGGCAATGGCGACGGCAATTTCGAAGGAGAAGAAGAAGAAGAAGGAACTGCAGGCGAAGAATCCATGCTTACAAGTGTTTTGATGTGGGTTAGGGGGGTGAGCGTGCCCGACGGTGATTTTAAGCTAAATGTCACAGGGGTTTATATAGACAATCTGGTTAATCCGAATCCGAGTAGGAGTAGGAGTCGGGGAGGTGAGCGTGCCCGACGGTGAGTTTAAGCTAATTCGAATCCGAGTAGGAGTAGGAGTCGGGAGGCGAGCGTGGCCGGCGGTGAGTTTAAGCTAATTGTCACCGCTAATACCCGACCCGATAGGATACCAAGCGGCGGGTTTATATAGGGAAAAAAAAACCATGTGATGTTTTCGGGTTCGGGTCAAAAAATGTCAAAACCCCCTCTCCTCTCTGTACCCTCGAGAAATCCTGCGATCGGTTCAGCTTCGGGAGCTTCTTGGAGGTATTTTCCTTCTCCCTCCTCTTCCTTCTTCTGGTGGCGACTGAACCCTAACCCTAACTAACATCGGCTAGATTTCTTTCGAGATTAATCCCCTAAACTCCTCAATCAATTTTTCGTCTGCAATTAAATTGGAATAAAATATTTACAATTAAGGGGCTATTGTGAGGAAGATAACCCATAGCAGCTGTAGTTATTGAATTTTCGGAATCATCTTGTAACAGTGATTTTGTACTTCTAATAATATATGAGGATGAATCGGAATGTAATAATTTTTCCTGTTCAATGAATCAAGTAAACCATTTACTACTGAAATTAATGTTGCTTCGAATAGTTTGAATTATTATCGCTTTACCACATAATGAAATATATATTAATGCATCCAAATGTTTCTTGTTTTAAAGAGATTGTGGTTGTAAAACTCAAAAGTGGATAGTTGTCGTTATGATTTGCTGCCGTTGGTTCTAATCAGAGGATAATTGATGAGGAAGTTAACATTGTCAACCCTAAAACCTTGGGATAAGGGCTTGGTTGTTGTTGCTGTTATATGATTTTCAAAGAGTAAGTCACAATTTGGACTGTGGATTTTGGTTCTAAGTTGCATGTTTTTATTTATATTTTTTTAAAAAAAAAATCTTCTCATGTATACTTGAATTTTATGTTCTTGTTCCTCTTATTAAATTATGCTACTTGGATAATCAATTTGTATGGATGTTTGCAGCATTTGTTTGAGGAAATGAGTAGGCTGAAGGGTGCTCACTGTTTCCTTGGGTTAATATCTCGGAGAGGCTATCCTCAGGTCGGTAGTGCTTTAGCTTTCCCAACTTTACTTCTTTCGTTTTCTGTGTTCATTCATGCTAGTCAGAAACAAAGAATTGGAAACCTACATGCCTGAGCTAATTTTTTCATTTTGATTAAATCTTGCAAACCTATGTACTTAACTCTGCGTTTCCATGTTATGCTCATTTTAAGATGTGATGGTTCCTTGTTTTTTTTTTCTCCTCGCATCTTTCTTTCAGTCAAAAGGATTGGTGTGCTCACTTTTAGTATCATAGATTTGGTCTGTTCTCAATTTCTCATCATAAAAGACCAAGTTTCCGGTTCTTTTTCCTGTAATTGGAAGTTGTAAACGGTTTTCAAAATTTAGAAACCAGTGGATGTTTGTCTATGACATGGTTCTAATTTTAAATACTAATAATTGTTTTCAAAATTTAGAAACCAGTGGATGTTTGTCTATGACATGGTTCTAATTTTAAATACTAATAATTATTATGTGTCAGAATGGATATATCACGATGTTTGTCTATGACATGGTTCTAATTTTAAATACTAATAATTATTATGTGTCAGAATGGATATATCACGAAGTCCCAGTCAGTCAATATAGAAACTTGGGATATTTCAATCTTATGATTTTGAGAGATTTCAGTCCCTATCAAGATGAAGTCAGACCCCCAATTATCCTAAATGACAATCAAATAGAACCTGATGTGATACACATTGCAGGTCCAAAAGGGCCATAACCTTAACTTTTACAAAGCTGAACTCAAGACATCATAATATAAGGCTTTAACAGCCGATGCCCAGATCTGAAAGGGAAAGGATGTAAATGCCTAGTAGTTTAATCTGTAAAGCCTGCTTTGCAAAATATTCTGTAGAAAACAGTTAACTTCATTGGGCATTCCATTCTTTTTAATCTAAGCCTATACATCAAGCAGTCGGTTATACTTGGTTGGAGCCAAGAGTTTCTAATGCTTAGAACTTTTCTTCTTTGGTGGAGAGAATAGGTGTGACCAGAATGATATGTTCACAGCTGATCAGCTATTTAGCTGATATTAATGACTTAGAAGTCCAAACCAAGAGTTTTCTGATTATTCTTTTTTATTTTGCAAATCCACTCATTTAGGTGTAGAGATGGTGGATATAATTGTTTGACACCAACCGAACAGTTCCCCAAAAAAAAAGGAGAGAGAAAAAAGAGCCCTAAAGACAGGTACTTTGCTTTGATAACAAAATAACAAGAGATTAAACTAGAGAATCTACTTATTAAATATGACGCAGGATTAAAATTTGAAGTTTTCTGTTAAAGATGGAAATGACATGGCTTAGGGATCACTAATTCGAAAATCAAAAAACTATTCTTTAACTTACAAAGTTTGCAAATTGTTAGTTTTTGATTCAAAGTGAAGGCTTACCGACACCTTGTTTCAACCTATAATTTGTGGAACTTTAATGTTGAAACCTAGTCAATTTTTTTTCATGCTTCAAATTATGTGCCACAGTGATCAAGGTGCTACAGTAATTAGGTGTTATCCATTCTTTTCTTCCTCATGTAGTGCACATAACTGTGATATCACCTGACAGTTTTCCTCATCAAAAGGGGATGACTCTGGAATATGTTTAGAAGTATCCAGAAAGGAATTAAATTCACCTTTTCATAGTTGGCATCTTTTTTTTTTTATAACTTATATGCGTCCTTTACAATTATTTTGCTTTTATCTTTCTTTTTCTCATCTGTTTGTTGCCTTGTTTTTTTTTCAATTACAGGTTACTTCTTTATTAACTGCAAATGAAACCTCAATAAATTCCTTGTTAGAGCTCTTTCGGCTTCAGCGAATGTCAGCACGAACACTTTTTTAGTTGTTGCTTCAGGTGAAGTGAAAGGGGCTTGAACCAAATTCGTCCGATCCTTACTAAAAAGGCTGAACGAGGTGGGGTAAGTCACAAGCCCACATGTTTCTTTTATATGCATGAAGCTTATTCTCATACTGATTTGCTTCTTATTTTCTACTCTGTATGATTCTCTTGTAGTCTCTTTGTCATGTTTAATATATTACATGTTGATATCATATCTGTAGGAAAATAATAAATATTACTAGAATTTATTGGAAATCTGATATTTGAGCTGTAATATCCATGCTATATGAAGCATGATCTGGTGCAGCATGTCCTTAATATGCTAGTTCATCCTGATGAAGCATGATCTGGTGCAGCATGTCCTTAATATGCTAGTTCATCCTGGTGACTCTGTTCCTATTAAAATCTAGGATATACATGCTAGATGAAGCATGTAACATCCATGCTATATGAAGTATGATCTGGTGCAGCATGTCCTTAATATGCTAGTTCATCCAGGTGACTCTGTTCTCTTAAAATATTGGCTATACATACCTCCTGGATGGTTGGCAATTCATTTGATTTTTTATGCTTTCTACTGCTAGCAAGGCATTGGACAGTTCATTTCTTGAACACAGGCATATATTAATATAGAAACCACTGCCATATACTGTTGTACGCAGGCAACTGTCGGTATTCCTTACAATTTTTGCGGCAGTATATCAGTCTATGTAATACTGGATAGTTATATTTAAGGAAGCAGACACTGTACTGCCTAGACTGCAGTTCACTTGCATGGTACTATGAAGATGAAGAAACTGGAGTCCCTTCCACTTGACTTGGTATACACTGTATTCCAGAAAGATGAAGAAAGCCATATTTCTTTATTCCACCATGCAATTTGGTTACTAAATGTAAGACTTGTAGGCATCTTCACGTATTTCCGGTGATGCATAGATTCTCTTTGGGTCTTGCAGAATGCCATTCATTGTGACCTCTGCATTGACATGTATTTTGTTCACCAATGCTTCTGATTTCTACCTGTATTGTGCCTATTTTAGTTTGTTGACAGTGGCACTTGGACACTTGATGACTGTCCATTGACACATTAAATCAGCGAATCATGTTGATAACATAGTATTTTTTTTCAAGTGTTGTTAATATAAAAGATGTCACGTTGGTAGTTGGTACCTGAATAAAAGGTTTTAATTATTCCTGTCAATCTTATTATAGATAACTATTATGGCTTACACAAACATTTTTACTTAAACATCTGGAATGTATAGATTTATTCTAAATTTCAGATCATTGGAGGTTGCCTTCTCAGGAAGACCTGCAAGGGGTCTCCATAAGGCTACCAAGACGACTTAAATTATAGTTTGAGGTCAATTTTCCTCCAACCGCTGGAGAATTGATAGAGAATCGATAAACCTGCTAAACAACTTTGGACTTATTTGCACGTATCATTTTAGTATACAGGGCGTATCAATTTTCTTAAGTTTCTGTTTTGACTTTATTTTTTAATTATTTCAATTTGATATCAAGCTGGAGGTTATCTTTGTTTGAAATTACATTTTATATTTTTGTGTTTCTTATTAGTAATTTTGATTGGTGGATGACCTACGAGGCACGAGTACTTCATAATAGAGAATTACCCACATTGGTTACTCCATTTTGATTGGTGGATGACCTACGAGGCACGAGTACTTCATAATAGAGAATTACCCACATTGGTTACTCCAGATAGAAACATGTTTGGTACTTCTGGCACGAGTACTTCATAATAGAGAATTACCCACATTGGTTACTCCAGATAGAAACATGTTTGGTACTTCTGCTAACATATCCTAAAAACTGATAACGTATTCTGATATGCATCAAGGACAACAAATAAAAAAAGGGAAATTTTGCAAAATAGACCGTTTTTATGAAATATATAGTAAAATAGATCACTTTGCTAAATAATTAGCAAAATAGACCTCTTTTTTGGCCAATAGGCCAAAATTTGAAAAAGTGGCTTCAAAAAACATACGGGACTACTAGTCCCGTATGTTTAGAGCCAACTAATCTAATGGTTAGCGAACTCAGAAAATATACGGGACTAGTAGTCCCGTATATTTTCTATTCATTAACAAAACGTACGGGATTACTAGTCTCGTACGTTTTGCAGATCCACTTCCGCTCTGCCCAGCAAATCCACGAGACTACTAGTTCCGTGGATTTGTCGTAATACAAGTGGGCTCTGCAATTTCTACGGGACTACTAGTCCCGTAGAATTGCAGACTATATATACACCTCAAATTAGGGCACATTCGCCTCCCGAATTCTTTCTCTCGCCATCTCCCTCTCTCTCTCTCCGAGCACCAACTCCCGATCCCCTCCCCTCTCTCTCTCCTGAGCTCCAACTCCAGATCTCCCCCTCTCTCTTTCCCGAGCTCTCACTCTCTCCCAAGCCAATCAACGTCCCAAACCCGATCTTCATCTATCCCAAATCCGACCCAACAATCCCTATCTCCCCCAAACCCAACTCACCTCTTCCTCCCTCAAATCTGACGCCGACGCCGTCTATTCTCTACGAGGCCGAGGAGATCTGAAATTTAATCAAGGTACAAATTTTTATTTTTCCATAAATTTATCTGTATTGTTTAGTTAATGTTGTATATCTAGAAGAAATATATAATTATGATTAAATGTCTGGAAAAAAATATAATTTTATATGATGAATTTTAATGCTTCAGTTAAAATGGCGAATAAAGTACCGATTATTTGCTTATTCAATGGAAAACTGAGCGTTAGAATGAATAATATGCCTATATACGATGGAGGCTCTAGGAAAATGTTCATGTTGTTGAGAAATTGCAACTTTGATAGATTGATGGCGCAAATATACAGAGTTACTGGAATTAATCACGTCGAAAATTCCATTAAGGTCTTCTGTAATTGTCCAATAAATGATCAAAGAATAATTGCTGTAAAGATCACCAATGATGAAGAATTGAATAACATGATACAACTTGCGGAAAAACAAATATCAATCGAGTTGTTTATTAAAAATATTCCAATGTCTGGGGTTGCTGAAGTTTCATATGCTCGTGGAGAGTTCTCACGCATGCTTGAAAATCAAATCTCATTATCTCAAAGTGCCATGCGCTTAAAAAATAAGTCGGGTGCAATGTCAAATGATGTGTTTCACAACTCGCCGGGTCATGTTTCAGTTGATTTACCGGGGGGGTTCTATAATAGTAGACGATAATGATGAGAATGTAGATGCCGATGATGATACTGAAGATGCTGAAGAGGATGAACGTCTTGATAGTATGCAATATGCAATTGGAGAGAACAATAATGACATAAGTTGGATGGATGAATATTGCGTAAATAACGACTATGTAGAGTCTGAAGAGCCATTGCCAGAAAAGTTTCAAAATGATGAGTGGATAAATGCCTCACAAGCTGAGTTCGTCGATTCCGGCCCTAATTTCGATCGACCCGAGGACTTTACTTTCAAAAAAGGAGAACTTTTCGAGAACAAGGAAACATTAATTTTCGCTATACGTGAATGGGCAATCAAAAACCGGGTCAAATTCAAGACGGTGAAAAGCAACACAACTAGCTATCATGTAAAGTGTTACTTTAATGAGAAAGGTCAAGGAGAGAATACAAGTGTTGCAGATGATAGAAATTCAAAGTGTCCATGGAAGCTTAATGCAGCTGTTAGGAAAAAATCTAATGGCCAATTTATGATCTTTAGTTATTGCGGACTCCATACATGTTCTAATCCGACTGCAACTTATGATCATAAGACTTTGACTTCCTCTTATATCACAAAGCTAATTATGCCCGAAGTTAGGTGGGAACTTGATCTTACTCCAGGACAGATAATTACAAGGGTATATGATATGAAAAGAATAACAATATCCAAGTTTAAAGCATATGATGCACGGAGGAAGGCGTTGACTAAAATCTTTGGAGATTGGGAGGAATCTTACCAATTACTTCCGCATTACCTTTCAGCAATTATGAGAAAAAATCCGGGTACCGAATATGACATAGTGTCTAAGGAGGTCGCGCCAGAAATAGAGAGGTTCATATGGATTTTTTGGGCATTTGGGCCCGCTATCAGAGGGTTCTCTTTTTGTCGTCCGCTCTTAAGTATCGATGGAACTCATTTATATGTCAAGTACAAAGGAGTGCTCTTGGTTGCGACCGGTGTAGATGCAAATGGTGGGCTATTTCCTATAGCTTTTGCAGTTGTGGAGGTGGAGGATACATCGAGTTGGAAGTGATTTTTTCAATGTATTTACAAATATATTCCGACTGTTCAAAGTCCACGAGTTATTACCTTTATTTCTGACCGGATGAAAGGAATTCCACGAGCCTTGCACGAGGGGTGGAGTGCACCACATCATCATCGATATTGCTTGCGTCATATAAGAGCTAATTTTAAGAAAAAACATGGAGAGGTCAATTTACAAAATCTATTATGGCAAGCCGGTTGTGCAACTGACTCACAACCCCACACACAACCGGAGAGCGAGCATATTCAAGCTCAAGTCGAAGGAGGACGCCGACGATCTCAATGAGTGCGAAGAGAGAGACAATGGGGGAGGGGTGGATTTTTTGTTTGTTAGTTTTTCCACTAAGATATATATTGTCGTATGGATTTATTGACCTTGGATTTGTTTATCTTAAACTATATATTATCGTATGGGTCGACTTGAGACATTTGGATTAGTTTAGCTTAGACTGATATAAATTATCGTATGCATTTGTGATGTGTATTTTTGTCGGATTTTGAATGTGATGTGTATTCAGTCGGATTTGTGTTGTGATGTTGTTGATTACGTTGGATTTGTGTGGTGATGTACTCTATGATGAGATTTGTGTTGTGATGTTGTGATTTTATAACTTTTATCATAGTATACAATGTAAATGATATCTTTTTGGCGAAAATTTTGGTTGTAATCGATAAATGAGGCCCATGCATGTTTGGTGCATGGTGCCCCTCTGCCCAGCAAATCCACGGGACTAGTAGTCCCGTGGATTTGCTGGGCAGAGGGGAAGTGGCTCTGCAAAACGTACGGGACTAGTAGTCCCGTACGTTTTGTTAATGAACAGAAAATATACGGGACTACTAGTCCCGTATATTTTCTGAGTTCGCTAACCATTAGATTAGTTGGCTCTATTTTCTGAGTTCGCTAACCATTAGATTAGTTGGCTCTAAACATACGGGACTAGTAGTCCCGTATGTTTTCTGAAGCCAAAAGAGGTCTATTTTGCTAATTATTTAGCAAAGTGGTCTATTTTGCTATATATTTCATAAAAACGGTCTATTTTGCAAAATTTCCCATAAAAAAATTCTAACGCGCAGATCAGGATCCAGCTTTCTAAATAAAGGAAGATAAATAAGTGGTTGGTCAACTGCTGGTTTATTTGACTTAGAGAGCTTCTTTTATAGTGTCAGAGATATTACTTTCTGTTAACCATGATCTCGTATCTTGCTGGCTAGCTATTATATCCAGGATGTATCTGTATTCTGAACTTTAGTATTTGTCATATCTGCATGCCCATATCCTTAGCAGCACTCTATTACTGTATTCATCATATCTGTACCTTGAACTTTAGGGCTTGTCATAGCTGTTTTCTGCATCTGATTCTGGACATAGTAGTTGATGCTTGAGTTGATCGAATCTTATGATTTCCTCTGTCCTTTTGATTTCATTCACCCTCTGCGTATTATATTCTTCTTTATTCTAACTCTTTCCTTTACTTCATAAAGTCCTCTGCCTGTCAAACATATCAGCAGTATAGGGCCATAGGAATTTCAATAGATGAGGAAGTAGTTTGATGCTGAGGATGTTTTCCAATTTTTAAGGGCTCCCAGTCAGATGGGTTTTCAAGAAGAATTTCCGTTTGATGCTGAGGATGTTTTCCAATTTTTAAGGGCTCCCAGTCAGATGGGTTTTCAAGAAGAATTTCCTTTTCCCCTTTAATGCTTTGTTGTTAATGTGGATAATCTTCTCATTTTGGATATGACTTATTTACCTTCTCTGGTTCTATATTTCTGTTATTATTTTGCTTATCAAACTTTAGCTGACCAAAAATATGGGATAAATTCTTCATAGTTGCTGTGATTCTGTTGTATTTCATTATCTGGTTCTACTATTGGTGCTGCATTCTTCTCCAAAGTTGATTAGTTATATTATATAGGAAAAGAACCTTTCCTGTACTTATCTCTCTCATGTACATACGATCTAGACATCCATATGAGTTTCTTGATTTGTGAATTATTAAAGTAACTTTACTGAATGCAGCCTGTCTCGTGGTTGAGCCTTTTGTTGCTTATTGCCACCGGAAGTGGGATAACTGTATACTATGACAAAGAGAAGAAACGGCACATAGAAGGTGAATTATTATGATCTTCTAGAGACTTCTTTATTTTCTGGTTTTAAATTCAGTTTGGTTTCCTCAATTAATCTCTATTATCTTTTACCGTAACCATTTTCTTTTTGATTAAGCTATTAGTGGTGATATATTAAGGAATTTTTCCCGTTCTTTGTATGCATTTATCTGTTTTATTGTTTGATCTGTTAGGTCATTCTTGCATTTTTATCATCAGTATATCCTGAGAAGCACCAACACTAACAGCAGGACATTGATGCGACTTGCCATAAATATGCAAAGATGGAAATATTGTAAATAATCAGTTCAACTAGCTGGTAGCATTGCTGCTGCCTCCATTAGTGGTACCAACCTATTGTCCACCTTTACTGTCACATCCATATTATCATTGTTTATATTCCTTTTAGATCATGTTCTAAAACATACATGCAAGGGGGGTGTCAACAAAGTTAGGTTGAACCTGAAACCCGTACGTGCAAACCTGAAGAATTCAGGTCTTTGGAAACTTCGAAACCAGCTTGAAATCTGAAGGAGTGACTCAGTGTATAGTTTGGTAAATCCAAAAAGCACATACATACATACATAAATCGTCATCTAGCCTTTGCCCATAAAAATGGGATCAAGCTATGGAGCAAGGCTCTATTATAAGGTTTTACGACCATGAGTCAACCTCTTTCTCTAGTTTTAACCAGTGCAAAACCTAGCGAGCTAAACCATGGGGACTGGCCATAATTCTGAGATCAGCGGGCAATCTCCAAATTCTCCATTTCTCCTACACAAGAAAGAAGTCTCGATGAGAACGAGCAAAATTGACCCACATGATACCGCGATATCCTGGTGAGAATAAACTAAAAAAATAACAATTTAAGCATTTGATTTAAAAATAAACTATACACCTAACTGTTTTGAAAAAAAATAGCAAGTTAAAGCCTAACATAACAACGTACACCAATACCAATCTGCTAACGTATAAAGTGGGCTCAAAATTAATTCTTTCGAATATGCTAGATCTAAGGTGATTTAGGAAGTGGGTGGGTCTAAAAGTAAATGGTGATACAACTTTTGGTTTGTAGGTAAAAACGCTTTTCGAGAAGTGAACAGGTTTAAAAATAAATGGGACTAAGTCTTGGGTTTATAAACAGGAAAAACATCTATAGTTTGTGATGCCGGGTGATTAATGTGAAAAAGACCAAGAAAATAATGGTTAAAATATTTGTTTATAGCATACAACTAACCACTAGCAAAATATGGCAAGAAGAGTCTTTTCGCATCGGCCCATAATGTGATAGAGCCTGGTTCCAACTTGCGGAACCACTCGAAGGCTACCCCTTTAAGGGTGCCGATGAACAGCCGGGTGAGGATAGCGTCGTTCCCAGTGAGGAATCCGGTTTGAGACATGAAATAGTAGATGTGCTGTGAGGGGAGCCCTTGCCATCTAACTGTACCAAGCTCATTAGTTTGAACTTCGCTGGGTAAGGAACCGTATTCCATTCGATCAGGTATGGCCTGACCACCCCAGCTTGTTCATGTTCTGTTGAAGCTTCAAGGCGTCGAGTTGGCTTTGGAACTCATTGAGCCTCTTGTCTTGGTAAGTTTCCCCCAGTATGCGACATTCCTGCCGACCGATTTGGAAGAATGATCCAAATGTGGCCCGATGTTATCTTCTTGTTCAGTCATTTGATTAGGAGTATGCTCCCATTCTTTATTCCCTGCTGGCTTCCGCGAGGTGCGCAAAGTCCTTTTCTTCTTCTTGTTCAGAAGTTGCTCCAACATCTCTCTCATGGACTCGATGACGGCCTGATGCTCTTCAACTTTTTTAGTGATTGTTTGATCATCCGCGGTTTCCGCCATGTGCACCCTCGCTCGTCTGCCCTGAATCGAGTTTGAGGTTTGGGATGTAGCCATTGTTGAGGGAACCTCGTCCCCATCGTCGGAAGGAGACGCTAAGAGCGCATAATTGAGTTGGATGGTGGCCCCCGTTCGAGTACGTGTACGTAAGAATATACCCTCGCGTTCATGTTGAACGAGCGGGGGTTAGGCCCCAGGAAAAATTCCGAGTCCGAGGAATCCAAACGCGTGGCTTTACCTTTCCCCGTCATGTTGATCGTAGCAGACGAGAGTTCTAAGTCATCGACAGTTCGCCTTCTTTGACGGTTGCGTCTCCGACGAGGTCCCGATTTGGGAGGCTGCTGAGCAAGCCTCTCGAACACCGAAGGTCTCAGTCTGTTGGGACATTTGCAATCAGCAAGTACTATCTGGATGAGCCTCTCGCAGTGGCACCGCGGATTCTCCTCATGAATAGCGCACTTGCGGGCTAGATGATCCCGGAGATCTCCCGCGGGTCGCTGGTGACAACCCCCAGAGTCAGGCGGGCCAGACATGTGATAATGTGTGAGAGGATCGAATGAACTCTATTGAGTACACTGGGCGAAATCGCTAAGTGTCGAATTCAGGCGAGCTCGCCTTGACAGGCGGGTTCTTGCGTTCGGGCGAGCTTCAGCCAGTTGGCGAGCTTTAATCGTTTGCATATTTAGACCGTCGTCTTGCCTTTGTTAAGACTTGTTCTTATGTGAGGTTTGTCCGTCAGGCGGACCTGATAGGACTCGCCTGTCTTCTCTGGCTCACCTGCTCGGGCAGACTCACCTGACCTAGATAGTTTTCTTTAATCAGGGATATGACCTGAGAAGCGAAGCCCGCTTGAATTGGTGGGCACGCTTAATTTGGTTGGTTCGCCTGGATTGCCAGGTTCGCCCGAAGTACCGAGTTCACCAAAACGGGGAACTCTGCGACCAGAGCGAAGCCTGCCTGAACATGGGGGCTCACCTAATTTGCTCTGCTTGCCAGCATTGAGAAGGTTGTGTCTCTGTTTCAGGCCTGAGTAATAATTCAGGTCGTCATAAGAGGTGAAGGCTTAGGCCTCTTGTCGGGCGAGAGCCTATCGTCGTCGCTGGCAGGCTCTCCTCGAGCCGAGGCGAACAACTGTCTCTTCTCGAGTGGGGGTCTGCGAAGATCGTTTAGCGACCCTTCTAGCAGTCTTTCGCTTTGTGCTCTCGGTCTTTCGCTCGGCCTTGACTGGCCCGAGGAAGATAGGACCCTCTGCCATGGCTTGGGTAGAGTCATCAGGCGTGGATGCCTCGACCACTTAGGGTCGGGCCACACGCACAATCCTTGACGCTTGCGAGACGCATTGCCACCAAAGGAGGAGGAAGACAAGTATTCTTCGTATTTGGGTTGGTCGAACTCGATCATGACGGACTCCACGGTTGTCCTAACCGCAACTTCGTCGAACTGAGTCACCACCATTTCAGTTGAAGAAACGGTTCCTCTCACTGTGGTTGCCATCTTTTGTGGGGTGTAAAATTTAATTTCTCGAAATGGGGACTTCGTTTGTATTGATAAGAATAGCTTATTACAAATTAATGAATCAAAGTTATAACAGAAGTGGAGGGAATACTCTCCTTGTTTAACGTGGGGTCTTTGGTAGCGATATGATGCCTCCAGCAGTACTGGAACCGAGTTTGCTTCCCTTGGACGATCCGAGCAAAGTTGCAGGAGAGCTTCAGTACGCAGTAGAAGCTCACGTTGATCGAGTTCAAGTTCGAGTTCCCGAGCTTAATGGCTATCAAGGCCAAAAGCTGGAAGAAGATGCTACAGTGCAAGAGCAATGCGAAGAGCAGATTACTAACTCAACTGAGAAGTGAATCAACCAGCCGAAAGAGAACCCTCTTCACGTAGCCAGGAGGGGCTGTTAAATAGGGAAAAGATAACATGGTCACTCCCTTGAATCATGGGATGTGATCATGTACTATTGAGAGATGTCATGCCTCTCACTCGTACTGTGAGCGGCTACCTGATGGGTGCGGAGTACTGTACTCGCTCCTCACATCATGGGAAATGGGAAGGTCCACCCCTGTACGTGACATCATAGCCGCCTAGTGTTTTGACGAGCTTGGCGAGTTTGCAGGCGAACTGCTGATTTCCTGGACACGCAGACGAGCAGGACTCGTGCTGGCGAACTTGGCGCTTGAGTGGACTCGATTCGTGCTGGCGAGTCATGTAGGCGGAATTGGGCTCTTGTCGGCAGGCTCGACGATTAAAATGAGCTTGTTTGGCTCTTCTGCGTGCATGCATACCTATACAAGCGGGTTTTTAGGTTTTCCCGTTATTAAGGTAATTTTTATAGCCTACAGTGGTCCGTCGTCATCGACAGATGGCTTTAACCCAAATCCTTCTATGCTAGCCGGGTCGGAGAAGTCAGGCTTACACTTAGACTGCGAGGTATGTGTCCGAACAGGTGTTGAGGTGAGCTCTTCCTTCGCCTTATCGTCAGAGATTGTAATGATTTTGGGTCTCGATGGTCTTCTTTTACGAGCGATCTCATACCAATCCACCTCCTTGGCAGTGAGAGGTCTCTTCCCAAAGACCTTGAATTACGAGGCCTAACAACCGGGGCCTCCTCTCGAACTGCACAATACAACAGAAAGAAGTTAGAAATTTTTGATCTAAAAGGTCAAATTTTTTCTAAGTCTTGAAGACATACGGCTTGTGAAATGCAGACGAGCTCCATCATGCAAGCGAGATGCAAAGCTCGCCTGTCAAACAGATCTTGCCTGACAAAGGCAGAGGCTCGCCTAACGAAGATCAGAGCTCGCCTAACAAAGCAGGGCTCGCCTGGCGAAAGCAGAGCTTGCCTGACAGGCAAGCTCACCAGAATAGCAGGGCATCGCCTGAATAGACGAAGCTCGCTAGAAGATGAATAGGAGTGTTCGTCTTCAGTCCCCTGGACTTACCATGGTGAGTTTCAACCACGCCGGGGGCGGTAGCAACAACGTTGGCAGCGGAGGAGGAAGAAACTTCCTTCTTCCCCTTCGAAGCAGACACCTTCACTCTTAGGGCCATGGCAAGTTCGAGGAAGAATGAGGATGGGGCTCTGTTTTTTTGTGAGAACTTGAGTGGAAGTTTTTCAATAGCACAGTAACCCCCCGACGAGGGAGACGAGTGCT